TATATATATATATATATGTATATACATACATTTATATGTATATTTATTAAAAAGACAACTATGAGAGAATCATAAGGGTTGTTACAACAAGACAACTGTCTCAGGACTTTATGCCAGTAGCTTAAGTACGGAATAACATTATTCAGTGATCAAGAGACTCGAGCAAACTGCTGATAACAAAGGCATTTCGGCATTTTATCGTCACGCAAAAACGCACGATATAACGATCTTTCTTACACACACACACACATATATATATATATATATATATATATTGAACAAAAAAACGAGAAAACGAGAGAATGCAACAAGTAGTGGCGTCGCTAGTGTTAGTTTATTACCGTTGTAAAATAATTGCGCCTTGACTGCTGTAGTGAGGTCCGATCTGACCGAATCGAAAAACAATCGTTGCTACTTGTTTCTTCTGCCTTCCGCACCTGGATACCTCTTAATTTTCGCGCGATTACACGCGTGACTTCCGTTCATTACGAAGACTATAAAGGCAAAAAAAAATGAAAAACGGATGATCGCGATATCGGAGTGTGATGCGCGTGACGTACAAAACGTATCGAGATCAAAAGCGAGATCTCGCTATAGCAGTTGCTCTTCTAATCAAATTCAATGATAGCAGTTGAGAATAAACATCGAAAAAAAAGAAAAAAAAATATACACACACATATAAAGTTGGCCGAACGCTTCCGCGCACGTGCGGAGCGTTTTGCACATTTCTGATTGTAATTTCAAGTCCGTTACTGTACGTGTGTCTTGTGACTCAATTTTGAAGGAGGAAACCCGCCACGGACGCGCAGATTTACCAAGTGTTGGCTGACGTACAAGCGTACATCGATCGAGAGGACACGACGACACACGCGTGCCTCGCGACGCTCAATTATGAGCATACGATTGTACTTTAAAACACTCTCTCACATACACGTTATAAATAACACGTTATTGTAACGGCTATAGACCTAAATAGCCTTATTCTAAATGGACAGGAGGAATGTCAATACTAAAGTGACGATCGATACCGATACGTCGTAGGATGAGGAAAAAGAAAGAAAAAATAATTGTACCGTATATACGCATTGTTGTCCCGTACTGAAGTAAAAGCGGAAAGTGGAAGTGAATTTTAAAGGGCGAGGAAAAATTTACAATCGCAATCGAGATACATAATAACGAACGTATCGCTGTACTTACACACACAGATAGAATCCAATGATCCGCCTATCTTCCGTTATTGTTACTTAAGGGTTTTAAAATGAGAGATATTGACTGTTCATAATTTTGTTGTCTCGTCATTTTGTCAAGTCTGGCGATCGATGCATCGACACACCACATACACACACACACAACATGAAAGGAATTGTCATTCCTGTATATAGCATTGATTTTTTTTTTTTCATATCTCTGTAAATAATTCGAGATTCCGGTCTACTTCTCTCAAGTCTGTTTAGGACACAATATTCCCAGCGATCATGATTGATTTTTTTTTTCGAGCCTATCGTTATTTATATTGGCCATATACGTCGGGGCTGCTGAGGAAAAAGAAAAGGGACATTATCCGGTTTGTCGTTTTATATGTATAGAAAATGATGGCGCGATATCATTATACATATATTATTTTTACCGAGTAACAAAATGTACGGCATTCTGCGCGACAATAGATTATGTATTATGTATACAGATTGTACGAATGACTAGCATTTTTTACATAAGCAGGTAGTTATCTTTTTAACCCTGTATAACCCAGCATAACTTCCAAGTAACGATCTTCACGGCCGAAGGATTGTCGGTGTTGTATCTTCCAACAGATACCGGTTGATCGATTCTTTTGACGATGAGTTTTATTCAAAAGCAACATCGTAGAGAAAACGGCGTCAATTACTTGTCGTGTATGGAACGAGAGATCTATGCTAAAAATTCTATAATAATAATAATAATAATGATAATAAAGTAATTGGGTTATAGAGGGTCGAAGGAATGCAGCGTTTTAGGTAACTCTATTGTTAATCTGTATCAACATATGAACAATACGATTATATTATTCGTCACTTCGCAAGCAACTAGATTTAGCGCCTCTCTCTCTCTTTCTCTCTCTCTATCTATCTATCTATCTCTTCCTCTGTCATGTTATTTATAACATATGCATCGTTTGCAATATTTATTAAAGAACATATAGCAAAATATTATTTGCGCTTTGGATGAGAGCTGTACTTTATTGTAAATTATCGTGTGCGAGCTATTATTAGCCAGAAAGGAGACCAAACTATGTATTTAGTATCTCGCCGTAAAAAAACGCCCCTGTGTATGTAGATTTTATAGTATTTATATCGTTTGTCTTATTCTCTTCCTCGTGTGAGACTACCAAAAAGAGGGTAGCGAGACATACATTATATTTTTTATTTTATCCATATTGAGAATTTTCATTTTCCTGTGTAGAAGAACCATATTAATAAAAGTAAAAGCTTATACCTCTCGCATTATTTGAATGTCTCCACACGTCCGAGTATTGATCTGTCTGTCAACAGGTTCTCGAAAAAGTTCAGAGTGTTTTCCTTCTTTGTCCAAGATATAACCTGTGCGATATAACCTATATAAATCTCCCGTGTATATTGCCATATTGCCAACTTATCAATGAGACTTCGTACCTTTCACCAATTTCGAGTTAAAATTATTTACGTGCATTGTCGAGAGAAGGCATTTATAATATGATATGTAAATACATCTTTGACGTTTCTTCCCACATGCCTTCACGTCATAGACTTCGCAATAATCAGTCAGGGTAGACGAACTCGAGTTTCTTGCGTGAAAGTAGTGAACTTATCTCCACGCTAATTTCACGCGGGGGACTGCCGTTCTCGAGTTTCTCTCTGACCTAATCAATATGTGTGCTGTTGGAAATAACCAATCATAAAAGCGAATGTGATAAGAGGCGAGACAGATGGAACGTCCGCTGTGTATAGAGTTTTACGAAAGAACGACTCGGTATTATGATTGGTTAGAAACATACGCAAGGAGAATGGGCAAGTAGCCGCAAATGTGTGTGTTCTATCTTGTTTATTGTGCAGTGGGAGAACTGTCTTTTCTTTCTCGTTGTTTATTTCTTGTATTTTACTATCTCTCCACTTGTGTGGAAAAGTTTCTGGTATCTGCAGACTGGATGTTCAACTTTTACTGAAACTCGTAGCGGATATATTTCGTAATATTGTGATGGAAATGACAAGGAAGAAATCAAACACCAAGTTATTTCAATATTGTTCGCTATTATTTACATGATCTGCGGTAAACCGCAAATTTCGGTGTTTTTCAGTTAATATTAAAATATTATTAGCCGTCTAATTATGGAAAACAAAAGTTGCAACAATTTTATTAGTTATGTGGGACTTGAAGAGCACGAGATCCAGGTAATCCTAATCACATCCGTCTATGTAAACATTATTAATTTATGAGACGATATTGAGATATTCAAACTTGTTAATCGATTCCAATTTTCTTTTATAGACTTTGAGCTCCAGTCGCCGTAATTCATTAATTGAGAATAATATAAAATTATTACCAGGAGAAGTTCTTATCGCTGAAGCACAGAGTGTTCTTATGTTTTCACCAGTCAGTGACTTGAAACAAGGAATTTCGGGTGTATTGTCAGTAACTAACTTCAAGCTTACCTTCATTACTAGCGATGATTCGAATGGAGAGGTAACTACAGTGAGATATTCTAATAATACATTTAATTATTAAAGGACAAATATGTGAATATGAAGTCTATGTTTGTTTACAGGATGTTACTCACCAACAAAACCATCTATATGGATATACAGATACATGTTTGACAAATATTGATGAAATTTACATAATGGTGGGTGATAAGAAAAGAAAACTAGCTCCTGGTAATATAGTACCATCGAAAGTAAAAGGGATATTCATTATTTGTAAAGTAAGTTGTTTTATTTATAATATACTTGGACTGAATGTATAATTTTTAGATTAGTACAAAGAGATGTGATACAATTAAAGAATACATATGTATACCAAATATCAGTTTTCATGTTTTGGATATATTAGAGTTGGTTATTATTACTTCATGTTAAGGCATCTTCTATTTCTGCTTCATGTGATTACAACAAGAATTGTGTATTGTATTGTAAATTACAGAATTTAAGGACATGGTCTTTTTCTTTCAAATTTTCACCCCTTGGGCATGGTAAGAATCTTCTTACTGCATTGTTACATCATGCTTTCCCTAGCAGGCACCAATTGTTATTCGCCTATGATTACAAGTTAGTATCCTGAAAGTCTTGAAAACTATACATTAAGATTTATATGTGAAAATTCTAAACAAACAATATATTGTATGACATCTAACCTGAAAAAAAAACTTTATTTTCATTACAGGGAAGCCTATTATAGTAGTCTTGACAAAAACGTCCAGCTATTTCGAGATATATCGGATTGGCAAAACGAGTTAAAAAGAACACTGTATAGCGATGAAATAAGGAAAGGTTGGAGATTATCCACTGTTAATGCCAAATTTCAGCTTTGTCCTAGGTAACTGGCATTGAACACATAGATTATTTACATGATGAACGTATAAATTGTGTGTTATTATTATATTATATTATAAATCGTATATTACATACTGTGCATGTTTGCAGTTTATCGCAATACGTAATCGTACCTGCATCTGTAACCGATAGTCAGTTAACAGACGCGGCCAGACATTTTCAAGGCAACAGACCTCCAGTGTGGTCTTGGACAAATGTGTACGGAGCAGCGTTAGTAAAAATGTCTGAACTGTTACCAACGATAACGGAGAGGAGGCAAGAGAACATTATGTTTGAAAATGTTCGTAAGAGCCATCCTCAGAAGATGCCGCCGGTTGTTGTCGAATTAAATAAAGAGATTAATGTAAAGTTAATAGCTATAGGTTTTTCGAAGTTTATTAGTTTATGTTCAGCAGGTGAGCGACAAGTTTTATATGATTGATACTTGATAACAATCATGTAAATGTTCATTAAAAAAGGGACCTTTGCACATTTCAGAAAATATTAGACAATTTTGGGTTCAAGACAATAATTTCTATTCGTTGTTAGAAAATACAAAGTGGCTTAAATACATATCGTATTGCTTGCAAAAAGCAGTCGATGTCTGTGACCGTCTTAATTTAGGGTATTCCGTCATCTTACAAGGTATGATTCATCAAGATAACGCTTGAATACGCTACGTGCAGCCGGCAATGTTTGTCAATCAACAGAGATTCATTCAGAAAGATATCACTTTTAGAAGGTGCCGGTAGAGATTTGTGCTGTGTTATATCGAGTTTAGTTCAACTATTACTGGATCCTCATTTCCGCACTATCACGGGCTTTCAGTCGTTACTACAAAAGGAATGGGTCGCTGGCGGTCATCCATTTTGCGACAGATTAGGCCATATTGTTAAAACTAACTCGGAAAAGGTAACCGCGACATATTGATCTCTCGTAGGATGCTTAAAACACGTTAACTGAAATGACTTTTCCATTATATTCGCGCATTGTAGTCTCCATTGTTTCTCCTGTACCTCGACTGCGTTTGGCAATTGTGCCAACAGTACCCGACCGAATTCGAATTCACGGAGACCTACTTGACTACGTTATGGGACACCGTACACGTATCCATTTTCGACACCTTTATCTTCAACTGCGAGAGAGATCGGGCAGTGGCAGCTATGGTAATAAAAAGAAAAAAAAAATCCGCCTCTATTATATCCGAAATTGCCGCACCCGCGTCGCAAATACGTTGTTTCTATTGAATCGTGTCTCGCTCGATGATTATTTGGCGTGATTATCACGTCGCTATGGAGACATTCGACGCGAATGTTGACATTGGCGACTGATCTGAGCATTACGTTCTTAATGTTTCAGGATCCCAATACGCCCCTCGTGCTCCGCAGTGTTTGGGATTGGCGGGAGCAGTTTGGTGATCAGGACATCATGCTATTTTACAACCCTCTATTCGTTCCTCGCAACACCAGCAAGACGGACAGCAGGGCGATCGTGAAGCCTGCCTGTGCTATTTCCAGTTTGGAACTCTGGACGCAATGTTACTTCCGTTGGATACCGGCCCTCGAGATTCACAACGGCGGGCAGAGGCACGCCGAGCTTTACGTCAGGCTGCTCCAGAACGACGTGAATCAGCTCAGGATCAACGTGAACGGCAATTGCGGCTCGCCCGTGGACAAAGTCGGTATCTACTCCCTTCATACGAACATCGATAGCTTTTATCCCTTCAGCAACAAGAGATCGGGCAACGCTATCAGCACCCCGATTATGAATAGTTCAATCATCATAACGGAGAGCTTGTTGGACGCACAATCATTGATAACCGCGACCGACTGATCGGACGCTGATTACAGTTCAGGATGTACCTGATTACATTCCCCTTTCTTCCTTCTTACGGAATGGATAGCGCGAAATCACCCTAGGTAGGCGATTTTTCCCCTTAGTATTAGAATCGCACGTCGTATTCTCTCTCACAGCCCGTTAAGTTTCAATATTAATTATCTGATAGTAATTTATTCTTAAGTTAAGACAGAGACTTTGTTAAACCAACGAGCGTCTGAGTGACGGTAGTGCGCAAAGAGCTTCTTCGATTGATGTAGACAGCCGTCGGCTCCTTTGTTATATTTTACGGTTTACGTTCTACAATCGAGGAAAAGGACAGATCTTCGGGAACGCGATATAAATATTGAAGTTTATTTAATTTTCTTGACACTCGACATGAACTTGTATTAAGAAGTAGAGACTCTTTTTTTATATGTTTTTTTTTTTTTTTCACAAAGTAGATCTTAAGTGTTAATCTCGTCGCAACCGAGTGCAGCTTGCACCTTTTCTCGCAGAACAAATAGGATAATTTGTATTTCCACGAGCTTTATGTATACTCCGATAGAGAATATTAAATATTATCAAGTCAAGTTGAGTAATTTTAAGAAATGACTAACGACGGAACGAAACATCGATATTTGTATATAAATTACAATGCGAATAGAAAGAAATAAATAATTTTGAATACTTTCGAAGAACTTTACATTGTTACAAATCGACAAATAAAGTTTATAAATAAGGCACACGTTTTCTACCGTAAATAAAATGTCTCATACGTTATTTAATTCTGTTTTTGTATATTATTTTCGCGATACATCTGATACATCGTTCATTTATATTGTATATTCTCATGTTCATGCTTGTGCACTAATGCACTAAATAAAGATTATCCGATTCGCCGTTCAGAATTTGAACGAGATCAACGGATTGGTCGTTGTTATTCCCGAAGTCTCCGTTACGAGCCGCCACCATCTTTAACAAGGGATTGTTTTTCAGGGAATTGGCTTTGACGGTGGATTCAAATGTCTCTAGGAAGCGACTTTTCCCATTGGATATCGAATATCGTACATTGAATGTGAATGTAAACTACGGATGCAATGTGAATCTCTCGATGTGCTCGTACGGTATCTATGCTCGCGCGACGATATACGTCACTTCTAATGTATTTATCATATGAGGAGTACGTATATAAACCATACGTTAGTAATACACGTCATGAGTGAATTGCCGATTTAATTGCTAGTGTCACGACATAAATTAGATCAAGGGTTAAAAACCATGTAAGATTCTTGCAAAGTCACTTTCTACTTTCACCGAGGCACGTTCTGCAATGATTTAAGAAAAGTCAGTGTACTGTAGTTTCTACCTGGTGCATGTTGATGCTCGTTTAAAACCGAGAAGGTAATTTATTCGTGCAAAATTGGTCACTTCGTGCAGTTATTTGTGTACCGTGAACAAAGAATCAACCAGAGGAGTTCGATTAAACTTGAATTAGATTATTAATCGGAAATTTGAGACATGCTAACAAAGGAATTTTTTTTCTTTATAAGATCGAACTTCTAAATATAATACTCTCCTTTCTCTCTCTTAATTATGATTTCTTATCACTTGCATAAATCTTTGTTCTATCTATTTGCAGGTTAATTGTTTAATGAGTATCATGTTGGATAATTCTACTGCCATTCGACGTCCAAAGGATCAGGCTTCTACCAATGGAGCTCAAAAGGGTGGGGAAAAAGGAACATCCACTTCAGCAGTGGAAGATAGTTCAAGTTATTCCAAAAATATCTCAGATGCGGATCATCTAACACTCTGGCAGCATCCAATTATAACATTGCATTATTTCTTTAACGAAGTGTTCATTCATTTGATTAGTTTAGCAAAGAAGACATTGCTGTACAAACGGACAGTATGCGCTTTAATTTCAGTTGTAATGCTCTTTCTTGCGATGAGCAGAATTTCTGGTCCTCAACAAGAGGTATGTGGGGGAACACTTTACTTTTAATAGTCACTTGTGTAAGATGGCTTATTTGCTTCTTGTTTGCAGATTTTTAAATTATGGGAAGCCAAGATTATGTGGTGGCTATATTGGGTAGGACTAGGTGTATTATCAAGTGTAGGCCTTGGGACAGGTTTACATACTTTTGTGTTATACTTAGGGCCACATATTGCAGCTGTTACTATGGCAGCGTACGAATGTGGCGGCCTGAACTTCCTCGAACCACCATATCCCGACCAAATAGTATGTCCAAGCAAAGTTGACCCAATGTGGACGGCGGGCATATTGAATATAATGAGTAAAGTGCGCGTAGAGGCAATGTTGTGGGGAGCTGGTACCGCGCTTGGCGAGTTACCGCCGTATTTTATGGCCAGAGCTGCCAGGACGAGCGGGCAAAGTAGCAAAAGTGAGAATTTCGATCAGGAAGACCTGAAAGAACTAGAGGCTTTGGAAGCACTGGAGAATGGGGAGAACGTACCATTTGTGATGCGTATCAAGTTGACGATGAAGCGATTTGTTGAGAAAGCTGGATTCTGGGGTATACTGGCTTGTGCATCGGTATGTGTGTCAAACAATATTTTTACTTCTTCGACATACACACAGAGCTTGCTTTAATAATAAAAAAAACTTCAAACAGATTCCGAATCCGCTGTTCGACTTGGCTGGTCTGACATGCGGACATTACCTCATTCCATTCTGGACATTCTTTGGCGCCACGTTAATAGGGAAGGCTGTTATTAAAATGCACATACAACAATTAGCAGTAATCATAGCCTTCAATGAAGAACTTTTAGATAAATTTATTAGTTTATTAGCGGTAGTGCCGTTTGTCGGTACGAAATTCCAGGAACCATTGAAGAAATATCTCATTGAACAGAAACAGAAGCTGCACGATAAGTCGTCTGCGGTAAGAGCCAGTTTTTCTTTTTTTTTTTAGATATAATAACGTGTATAAAGCGCGGTAATCTCTTGAAAGAACGAACAATTTTTGCTTTTGCAGGACGGAACGACTACAATATCATGGTTGTTCGACAAATTTGTAATGTTGATGGTCTGTTACTTTTTAGTGACGATTATCCACGCATTAGCACGAAATCATCATCGTAGACGAACTAAACCATCCATCGATTAGAATCCATGGGATATAGAATAATTAGTTAGCAATATAAAATAAGTTCCGCCGCAACATATAAGTGAATATACGATACTTGTTTTCACTGCGGGACAAACGCGGCATTAGGAATATAAGGGACGTGTTGAGAAATTTTTCATTTCTATGGTTTCAATGTTGCATTATAAATATAATATACACAATAGCGGAATATTAAAAAAGTTATTCCCTTTTTCTTTTGTTTTTTTTTTTGGTTTTCGTTTTTGTTTTCCTCTTCTCTTCTTTTTGATGCTCGCTTTCACTTCTGTTGCAGTATTCTATATAAATGTTGCAAGGATGTTCCTGCTATGCAGGTGACTTACATGTATATAGACTGATGTCTTTTATAACACAAAGTTTATGTACAGTGCATGAAATAAATAAGCGGCATATTCTGCAACACCTGTGCACGATCGGTTGATATGCTTCTGTATGTTATATATATCGATGACTATCAGGGATTGAATTTAGAGTATTTTGCGATAAGCGATAAGAATATTCTGTATTCAATAAAATTTAATTTCCAGAAAATGTCAAATTTCCATATATATATATATGTGTATATATATTTTTATATATATGTATATATATATATATATATACATGAATACATAAATTTTGTATATATGTCTTAAGACATAGGCATGATGAAATCTCGAATTATCTGCCGATGCTTCATCACATAAAAAGAAGTATTATATGTAATAAATGACTGATCTAGGGGAAACAATAGATTACTATGAATAAAAGACATGTAACTGAAATATCAGAAATGTACGCTACGAACGTACGATAAAATATGTGTGCGTGTGTGTGTGTGTGTGGTTCGCGCGCGCGTGTGATAGCACATATGTAATATATACATAGTTATTGTAAAGCTTTTTTATAACGTATAAATATTGAATCCTGTACTTGGGGGAGGATGTTACGAGAATTTAGTGATAAACATCGATATTTGCAAAATTTATAATATGCAATACACACTGTAAGAGCATAATGTTTTTTCAACGAGATCAATCTTAAATCAATTGAATTCGATTTTCCAATCCTGATATTTCGAAATGTTTCAATGTGCATCGAAATCTGTAATAAATGTCAATGTTTCTAGAAGATATACACGAAAACCGTGTACAGCCGAGCCTTGCAACATTCACTTTTGCTATTTGTCTTCGTACTGGTGAATTCTCGGACTGCTTATGTAATGACGCCTTTGTCCCGGCGTCTTGGTTGGTCTTCGTGCACCCTCGCACCGTCAGCATGTGGTCGGCCATAATTTTCATCAAAGTGCGCCGCCTTATGAACGAAAAGTGGCACAAACGCCGCCCGTTTTTGATTTATATACCGAGCGGTCCGAGTTACAGCTGGAAACGTATATCCGGGACCGCGAAGAGAGGTATCTGGGACGAGAGCGCGAGTAGGCCACCATAAAGAAGAATTTCTTGGCTTTGAAACTGGCCGACGCGAAACTTATATCTCGTTAGGACGACGTTTGTTGTGAAATAGTGCTGCAATAGCGAACGAAGTCTAACACAGTGCGCTCGATGATAGAATTTTTTTCAGATTTACCATAAATTTGGTGGGAAACCTCTGTCTTCGATCGAAGCAAACAGAATTTCTGATTCTTATGAACCGAATTCGGTTGTAAAGAACCAGAAATTCTGTTTCCTTCAACCGAAACGCATTTGGTTTCATTCATTGTCGTCACGTTAATTCAACCAGTCTTTTCCTCCCGTGTACAATGTTCGCAACGAAAAATCAATCTAATCTTTTGCTCAGAAATTCTCAATCAACCGAAATACCAACAATGTCATTCAGTCTTTCCAGCTCTCTGGAAGCACATCGTTCATTCTCAATTGCTAATCGCGTGCTCTCCGCCATTAGATAGTCTCTCGTCGCATGTTCATCTTGCTTCGTACTTCACTCGCTTTTATCCTCAAATTCGGCAATACCGCTGACCTTTGCCAAATCGAGCTCTCTTTGTTTAAGCGTCTATGAACCGGCAATATTAGCACTTGTAATTTTATCTACAAGCGACTGGAGTAAACGAATGAAATGCGGGTGTGTGGATTGCGAAGGAAGAATTCTTCTGTCTTTCAATGTAACTCGATGTACATGTATCGACGCACGTGTAAAGAATTTATACCGTTAGGTAATGCTTAAACGAAAATTCGTGAATGAACGTTTCGACACGATCTGCATTTATCGCGCGACAAATCACTTGGATCCGGAAAGTAATCCGAGTGCAGATATAAATGTCGCGCAAATTTGGTTCAAGCACATTTCGTTCAAAATCACGAAATGTGTCTGAATACCTGAAGACATTTGCGTCTTCGTCGAGTTCCGAATGATTCGTGGTTTGTGACTTCTCCGGTGTCTATTTCGAAGTCCGGGGAGTATTTATAAGCTTACGTGAAGTATCTCGGCTTAGCTCTCTCGCGTAAACGGAATTACTACGATGTTATCATCACGTTTAAGTGCCGGGTGAGATTTGCGTTTATCGTACATCATGATTGCTGCAAGATTTAATCTTTTTGCGCTGCAAAAAGTTACTGATTTGAGTATTAAAGGAAGGATAGACTAGATGTTCTAAAATAGTGCTGAGTCGACATTGTAATTTTATTCATAAGCAAAGAAAGTGCTATATTCAAGTGTACAATTATTCCAATATTCTTTAGCAAATTTACTTAATCCAAATAAAAATTTGCCAAGCAATATTGGAATACTTATTTACCCGAATATAGCACTTTTTTCTGTACAAATATGATCAATATCTCGCGAGATTAGATAATTCCATTCTCAATCTTTTCTTCGACAAACACGACAAATCTCTCGTGTCAATCCAATATCAATTGTCCCGTGAGAAACAAAAGAAAATAAGATTCTTAGATATTTGGTTAAAAAAGGAAGCAAGAGGGCCAGTGAGAGCCTTAAAGTTTTCTTTACCGGTCGTTTTCATTCATTTCTTTATTCGTTTCTTTCTCTTTTCCAACCAATTGTTTCTTGCAAGTAACGTCAGCTTTGAAGAATTGCGTTCCCCCGATGCGGAATTGCGATGCCCGACGCGTCAGCGCTCGAAAATTTGCGCTGTTGATTAGCGATGACGATCTGTCAGGGGGTTCGCGAGAGCAGTTAGACCTCTAAATTGCGCGCGCGAATTCGCGAATAAAATGCACGATCGTGTCTCTTCACAAAGGCTGGCACGGATTACTCATCGCGTGCATCGGCCTTTACATTCATGCGGCCCTGCGGGGACGAGCCGAACGGTCGGTCAGCCAAGGGTTCTTGGGATAATCTCGGAAAAGCGGGATAAATAACCAGACGGCCGGCAGACTGATCCGTTTACTCGTTTATATTTGGATGACGGTGTCTTCTGGTGCCGTCTCGGCCTCGCGCAAATTGTATCAGTGTGTCATTCCGCGTCGCGAGTTTTATGCAATTTCACTGACGTAGCGGCTGTTCGGCTCGATCTAAGTCGGGCTTGGAAAGCGGAGGCTGCGATCGCCGACACGCTCGGTCTCTCCACGCGCGTCTCTCGGCGTTAGAAAGCTCGTGAAGCTTCGCCCGGAGAAGGACGACGGCATCTTTCCGATCGGCCGTTTTTCTTTTCGCCCACCTCTGAGAACCGTCGAGCCTTTTTTCATCTTCTCGTTCGAGAAAGAGAGGAAGAGAGAGAGAGAGAAACTCGACCCGCGCGAGTTTCCCATGACAGAATGCACGCAGATCCGTGCCACGTGATACTGTGTTTTGACGGATACTCACTCGCCGGCGGAATCCCGTCGGGCAGCAACGAAATCAGAGTGTCATGGGAGAAAGGCGGGGGAGGCCTCGCGACCTGCTCCCTTGGGGGACGAACACTCTTCAAATATTTTCTCTGACACGCGGAACGTTGTTATGAAAAAGAGCGTTTCGAGAAACATCAACTTTCCCGTGGCGAAGGGCGCGCGTTCGACGGGATATAATTAACTTCTGCTTTTAACTCCGAAGTTAATTGAATATTACGCGATAAATATGCGAGTGCTCGACGATATGATTGAATTCAATTTATACTTGAGGTAATTACCGCGATAATTCCGTTGTGAGCAAGAGCTTTTTGAGAAAACGTCAACTTTACCGCACGAAAGCGCGATTGACGGAATACAATTAGCTTCTTCTTCAAATTGCGAAATTAAATGAATAATACGCAATGAATATGCGAGTGCTCGGGGATACGATTAAATTCAATTTATATTTATGATAATTACCGCGATCATTTCGTCGTGAGCAAGAGCTTTTTGAGAAAGCATCAATTTCCCCGTACAGAAACGCGATTGACGGAATTGACAAATTAACTTCCTCTTCAAATTCCGGAATTAATTGAATAACACGCGACAAGTATGCGCGCGAGCGCTCGGAGGTCTGATTGAGTTAAATTCGTATTTAAGACAATTATCGCGATAATCTCCGTTTTCTCGCGTGACAATGGCACGTCTTTCAGTTTTCTTTTTCGTATGCAAGTCGCGATGCGCTCCGGCATCATTCGCTCTCTGACCTCCCCGGCTAATTCGTGAGTGACCTTAACTTTCAATTTACGAGCGATCGTTTCGGGCTACCGAGTTGAAAGCGCCCTTAACGCCGTACCGGCCGGACGCGTAGCCGGGGAACAAACAATTCGGCTGCCGCGCTGCGCCCGTTTTAATTCCCGGGAATCCACTTAGACGGCCGATTTTATACCGCCGGCCAATAAAACCGTCGTCTAATTGTTGGCCAGCGCCACACGCTCATTACCGGCATCTCGGATTTCAAAAGAAAAAAATCCTACCGCGTTATCGGAACTGCACACAGGTCGTCGTGGTTCAGCCCCGAGACACATGTCGATCTATATATAGACCTTCTAAAATACCGGCGCTTTTGAATCTCTAACGCCTCGCGCCTCGACAATGGCACTATGTTACAATGCCGTGACACATTTGCGTACGCATACCGTGTTATTAATATCGGGAGAAATTGGCCGACGCGCGAGGAAAGTAACGTGGTATTATAGTCGCATAAGGTTGATGATAACGAGCTAGCCAATTTCGCGGAGATTTCAATCTGCATTCAATAATGGGCCAGATTAATAGAAAATTTGCAAACCTTATAAAGCTTTCCGATATGTAATTCAGATATAATTTACATAAGCCAATAAGAGCCGACACAGGTTGCAAGTTGCGGAAGCAAAATTATTACATATTTTTTTAAACTTGATCACATTTCAATTTGATCACGTGTACGATTAAATTGTATAGGATATGTAATAGTTTTGTTCGCAAGTAAGGTTGCGCGCTTTAAAACCTGTGTCAGTTCCTATTGCGTGACTTACATAAATCAAATGAATAGAGTCGAGGTACTTCCACGAAGACTCTCGTAAGAAGATTCGCACGGAACGTGAGACTTCAAGCTCGAGTCTTCCAAAATATCTTGGCATTCGATACAGGCAATTAATGCGAGTCCATTTCACGGAAAGAAAGGAGGAACTTGGTTGTTGCAACCAAATCTCTCGCTGGCCAAGAAAA